CATCCGTGCTGCTCTCCGTTCATCTCCCCCTCCCTCTTGTCCCCACCCTTGTCCGTGAGTCTGTCTCTGTGTCTGCATCTCCATTGATGCTACGCAAACAGATTCGTCAGGACCGTCCTTCCAGAGTCCACACCCATGAGAGTGTTCTCAGTCACGCTCGGCTGTTTGCGACCCTGTGGACTGTAGCCCACCAGGCTCCTCTGTCCCTGGGATTCTCCAGGCAAGAACACTGGAGTGGGTGGTCTTTTCCTCCTCCAGGATCTTTCTGGCCCAGGGAGGGAACCCAAGTCTCCTGTGCCTCCAGCATTAGCAGGTAGATTCTTTACCACTGAGCCACGAGGGCAGCCCTAGATTACATATATAAGCGTTTAAAGAAAAAACAAAAGCAGTTATATTTTGTATAGACTTATTACCTGCTTGAACAAAAAGCCCTCTTTTTTTTTGGCTCGGGAAGACAAAGCAATTTTGCTATGCAATTTGTGGCTCTGACCATGTGCCATCCTGTGAAGTACTAAAAAAAACAACACACACACACACACAGACAAACTAAGAGTTTAGATCCAATTTCCCCATAGAAACCTGAGGGAAGGACGCCGGTCTGGCCCTACAAGCCCGTCATCAGTAACAGAGTTGATGCATCCCATCTTAGTAGCTGATTGAAAAATTACTCGGGTATTAAATAAGCCCACATCCTTTTAGGAAGCAATGAAGCAGCTGCCTAGGATCTAGGACCTGTTTCCCTCCGGGGAGCGGTCAGCACTCTGCACCAAGGTCCTGCCTTCCTCTTTAAACTCTGCCGACTCAGGGTTATCACAGACTTGACTTAAACCCATCAGCATTTGCTCTGCATGAAGGGCAAGGGGAGGGGAAATGGGTTTCTGACGTCAGCAGTGCAGGTGTCAGAAATCGGAATTGTGTGTCCTCCAAAACTTGTCCTTGCTGGGGTGAAGCTCCACGGTTCTGATATAGGGCAGTTTCTCCGTCTCTGGCCCAGAGGAAAATAAAAACGAACTTTAATAACAGGGATTCCATAACTGAGCCGGGAGCCTCAGGGCCAAGTGGTCCAACTGCAGGATGCTCCTTGCTTTTTTATAAAAATAGTCACTTTATTTTTTATTTTCTTGGGCTCCATCATCACTGCAGACAGTGACTGCAGCCATGTAGTTCAAAGACGCTTGCTCATCGGAAGAAAAGCTATGACCAACCTAGACAGCATATTAAAAAGCAGAGACATTATTTTGCCAACAAAGGTCCATCTAGTCAAGGCTGTGGTTTTTCCAGTAGTCATGTATGGATGTGAGAGTTGGACTATAAAGAAAGCTGAGCGCCGAAGAACTGATGCTTTTGAACTGTGGTGTTGGAGAAGACTCTTGAGAGTCCCTTGGACTGCAAGGAGATCCAACCAGTCCATCCTAAAGGAGATCCATCCTGAATATTCATTGGAAGGACTAATGCTGAAGCTCCAATCCTGATGTGAACAGCCAGCTCACTGGAAAAGACCCTGATGCTGGGAAAGATTGTGGGCAGGAGGAGAGGGGACCACAGAGGATGAGATGGTTGGATGGCATCACCGACTCCATGGACATGAGTTTGAGCAAATTCCAGGAGGTGGTGAAGGACAGGGAAACTTGGCATGCTGCAGTCCATGGGGTTGCAAAGAGTTGGTCACGACTGAGCGACTGAATGACAACAATTTTATTCTTTTGACGGCGCTGGGTCTTTGCTGCTCTGAGCAAGCTTTCTCCAGCGGGAGAGAGTGGTGGCTTCTCCTGTGTGGAGCTGTAGGGCACGCAGGCTCAGCAGTCGTGGCATGGGGCTTGGTTGTCCCACGGCATGTTGGACCTTCCCAGGCCAGGGAGGGAACCGGAGGTACCACCCTGCACTGCCAGGCGTGTTCTCAGCCACTGCACCACCAGGGAAGTCCCGGGGGGACCCTTTGGAGGTAATCATCCCCTCGGGGCTCCCGAGCCCTAGATGTGGACATTTCAGCCCATCTTTCATCAGCTCAGTGCAGGAAGCCTGGAGAGTGAACATGTCAGCCAGGCCAGGAATCCCTCGGCTGTCCCCCGCTCGACAAGCAAGACCGCCCGGCTCCAGCCTTCCTCCAGCTGCCGTCCCGAAATAGCCCTACCCAGGCCGCCCGCTATCAGGTGTCGGGCGGGGAGGCGTGTGGACACATGTCCCCTGCACGCTCCCGGGGGATGTTTTTAGACCGTCGGAATCTGGTCCACTTGTGCTGCAGCCAGAAATAAACTCTCCCACTCAGATGGGCGAGGCGTCCAGGAGACGTGGGCCAGGCGACATGTGGTCCCCCACCCCGCCCCCCGCGCTGTAGGGACGCTGGACGCAGCCCGGAGACAGCACGCCGTCCGCGCCTGGACCTTCACTGTCCAGGCCTCCACAGGTCCTCACTGGCGTCGTCTATCTGCCTGTCTGTTACTGCTGCTCTTGGGTCGTCAAGTCGTGTGCGACTTGCTGCAAGTTAACATAAGCGTCATGAAATAAGTGGCATCTAGCCTGAGGGAAATTACGGAAATGCACACCAGTTCCTTAGAATGAACTTAAGTAACTGGAGTTGTGCTGTTGTTCAGGCGCTCAGCTGTGTCCGACTCTCTGCGACCCCACAGACCGCAGCACACCAGGCCTCCCTGTCCATCACCAGCTCCCGGAGTCTGCTCAAACTCATGTCCCTCGAGTCAGTGATGCCACCCAACCACCTCACCCTCTGTCGTCCCCTCCTCCTCCCGCCTTCCATCTTGCCCAGCATCGTGGTCTGGATGTGCGTGTCTACCACACGTTTTAGAAACGCCTCTGTTCCCTTGTGGACAGTGCTGGGTCTTCATCGCCGGGCACGGGCTCCCTCTAGTTGCGGTGCGCTCGGCCGCTCAGTCGTGCCTGCCCCTCTGACCCCATGGACTCTAGCCCACCGGGATCCTCTGTCCGTGGGGTTCTCCAGGCAGGAACACTGGAGTGGGTTGCCAGGCCCTCCTCCAGGCCAGCTGTGGTGAGCGGGGGCTTGTCTTCTTGCGGAGAACAGACTCCAGCAGGTCTAATCACCTGGCCCCAGTAGCCGTGGCCCCAGAGTTAGTTACTGCGTGACACGCGGGACTGTTCACGCAAGAAGGCCTTTTCACCTCTCCTGGCTGTTCTCTGGAAGTCCGCATTCAGCTGGGTGCGTCTCTCCCTTTCTCCCTTGCCTTTCACTTCTCTTCTTTTCTCAGCTATTCGTAAAGCCTCCTCTGGCAACCTCTTTGCCTTCTTGCATTTCTGTTTCTCTGGGATGGTTCTCGTCACCGTTGTGGCATGTGGGATCTGCCTGGACCAGGGACCGAAGCCGTGTCCCCTGCATCGGCCGGCGGATTCCTAGTCACTGAACCATGAGGGACGTGCTCCCTGCCTGCCTTCAAAGTCTCCTCGGTCGTGTCCGACTCTTTGTGACCCCATGGACTGCAGCCCGCCAGGCTCTGTCCGTGGGATTCTCCAGGCAAGAGTACTGGAGTGGGTTGTCATTCCCTCCTCCAGGGGATCATCCTGACCCAAGACTTGAACTCATGTCTCTTACATCTCCTGCCTTGACAGGTGGGTTCTTTAGCGCTACAGCCGCCTGGGCGGCCCCAGGAAGTCCTCCACCACACTCTTATTCACGAGCTGAAGGACCAGCCCAGCCGTTCTCCTGGCTCTCAGCGTCCATCTGGGGCTCTGTCCTCTGAACTCTAACAACACAGTCCGCCTTGATCGCGCCCTCTTTGGAACCATAAGCATATGCTATTGACCTGCAGCCCCTGCCAGACAAGCAGTCGGAGCTGCAGAAGACATTTGGTTGACGCCTCCCTGGGGGTGGTTATCACGTCCGAGGGGCCAGGGCTACGCCTCCCCCGCGTGAGAGCATGGGTGGGTGGGACACAGCGTCTTCCCCGTGCACTCAGACCCTCCAGGTGGGGGCCTTCACGGGCTGCTGGGTGCAGCCTGCTGAACACATGAGGCGATGAAGACCGCTGTCTGTGTTGGGTGGACCCTAGTTTTTAATGAGAAAACCTAACTGCTACTCAGGCCTTCCCAGATGGCTCAGTAAAGAACCCGGCTGCCGATGCAGGGGACGCAAAAAACTCGGGTTCCGTCCCTGGGTCTGCAAGATCCCCTGGAGGAGGAAAGGGCAGCCCACTCCAGTATTCTCACCTGGAGGATCCCATGGACAGAGGAATCTGGTGGACTACCGTCCAGAGGGTCACATAAAATTGGACACAACCGTGTGACTGAGCGCACAGCATCTATGTATTTATCATAAATCTATCGTCTATTTACCATCTATATTTCCATCTAATCTATCATTTCTCTATGTGTCTCTAATATATATATCCATCTACTGTATGTATGTATCTGCTCATCTATCTATCTATCATCCAACTGTCTGTCTTATTTATCTACCACCTATTTCCCTTTCATCTGGTGTCTCGAAGGAAAGTCAGGCTCAATGTGTGAGTTAGTTTTCAAGGATTCCAGCATCCACCACGCCAGTGCGTTTGCATAGAAAGAATTCGATGGATTTGGGCAACATGGTCTGGCTTGGGTTTTCAGAGAGTCAAAAACAAAGCCCCAGTGAGTAACCCATTTCCTTTCTGAGACCCGGGCTTCCCTGGTGGTGCAGACGGTAAAGAATCCTCCTGAAGTGCAGGAAATGTGGGTTTGATCCCTGGGTTGGGAAGCTCCCTTGGAGAAGGGAATGGCAACCCACTCCAGCATTGTTGCCTGGAGAATCCCATGGACGGAGGAGCCTGGTGGACTTCAGCCCGCGGCATCACAAGGAGTTGGAGAAGACTTGTGACGAGCACTTTTCCCGACACACAGATCTAACTCAGCCCTGGTCCCGGTGGCAGGGCAACGCGGCAGAGAAGTTGAGACGCCCAAACACAAGACCCATGTCGACCCCTGGCGTCCCTGACGACGGTGATGGGACGGGCGGGAGGGGCGAGGGGGTGGGGGGCGGGGGGGCCGGTCTTCAGCTACCACTGTGACGTCCGCTCCGTGTCACCACTGGCGGTGTCACTTGCTCTTCGAGCTCCCGCAAGAAAGAGTTTGCTTCCCATGCCGCCAGGACAGCCCGTGGAGAGATGGAGGAAGACACTTGCCAACCCCATGGAGCCATCTAGTCCCGCCCGAGCCCGGCCCCGCACACCCAACAGAAAACTCCACGTTGTCAGCGGGACCCACTCGGGCTCCACGTCCCCCTGCTTCCCGCGAAAGCCCGCCCAGCGCCCGGGGCGCCTCTGTCCTCGGAGAGCCTGACCGCGGCGGCCGCTCAGCACGGCAGCTGCGGTTCCCCGCGTGGTTGTCATTTCCTGAAATGTGCTGGGATGTAACCTCCGGGGCACGCACGCGAGCCCTTAAAATAGCGTGACTTATGTGCTGCCAAACGCCAGCCTGCTGCTGGCTGTCTCCTCCCCAAGGCTCCTGGGGAGTGGGGGACGTGGTAGGCCAGATGGCTGCCTCCCCGGCCTCGGGGGCAGTGGCCGGGGAGGGACCATGGTGTCCGGGCGGACTCGTCCCGATGGTCTGTCACGAAACCCACGTGCGCTGTTTAGGACAGCCGTCGTGATGTCTGCTCACAGCCAGGGTCCAGGCTGACGGGCTCTGTTCAGTCCACGCTGCCCCCCACTGTGTGGGCTCCCCGGGGGCAGCAGATGCCTGCTAAGTGACACCTTAAAAGCACAGGCATCCGTCCTCTCCCAGTCCTGGGGACTGACCACCCACCCTCCCCAGTCCTGGGGGCCAGACGTCCGAGGCCAAGGGGTCCCAGGGCTGAGCTCTGTCCAGAGTCTCCAGGGGAGGCTCCTTCCCACCTCTTCCAGCTTCCGGGGGCTCCAGGCATCCGTCCCTGGGCTGGTGGCTGCCTCCCGCCCGTCTCCGCCTCCGTCTCCACGTGGCTTCTCCTCTGTGTCCCTGTCTCTCCTCTTCTGTGTCTTATAAGGACCCTGTCCCTGGGTTTAGGGCCACCCCCATCCAGGAGGGCCTCATCTCAGACCCTTCACTCCATCACAGCTGCAGAGACCCTGCTTCTTAAGTCCCATTCTGAGGTTCTGAGAGGACATGAATGTCGAAGGAAGGGGAGGCCAGGAGGCCACTGAGCGAAATCCGGGCCCCTGTGCCCTCTCGGTCCAGCCCTGTGCCTCGGCTTCCCTGATGATCTTGATTCCCCATCGTCTGCACAAGGATGGCGCTGACCCCCTTTTGCATCAGGGACCCTGCGGACATCACACATGTCTCAGTGAGACTTTGGTGAAAAGCTAAGTCTTACTGCTCTAAACACCTCCCAGGAAGGCACATCCCCTCCCCAAGCCCCCCCACACCTCCACTGTACACCCCAAATCTCTCCCAGTAATGTGTCCAGCATGGTGACCAAGGAAGAAACATGCTAAACACCCGGCTTTCATAGCATAAGTAAAAGACACTCTGAACGTGTGTGCTTACCCAGGACAGGTAAACTGTAGGGACAGCCCAGGTCCCTTCCAGGCTGTGAATCTCATTTTCAAGCACAAATTCTCCACCCAACGCTCTCTTGTGCCCAGGAATCCCTGTCCTGGCTCCCATGTTGGGATGGGCCCGTGTCTTGATCATCCAGGCGCTCTCCATCCTGTGAAATTCCACCCTTTTCTCTAAAGTGGGGTTTATCTGGTGGCTCAGATGGTAAAGGATCCACCTGCACCGTAGGAGACACTGGTTCAAACCCTGGGCTGGGAAGATCCCCTGCAGGAGGAAATGGCAACCCACTCCAGTATTCTAGCCTGGGAAATCCCACGAATGGAGAAGCCAGGCGGGCTGCAGTCCGTGGGTTCGCAAAGAGTGGGACACGACTGAGCACACACACTCTATAACGTGTCTGCAGTTCTCCATGTCCTCCAGGGCTCCCGCTTTCCCTTGGAGTCCTTGGGAGAAGTGTCAATATCTTGCATGACCCACAGTGAAATTTGCTCAGTCATGTCTGACTCTCTGTACCCCATGGACTGTGGCCCACCAGGCTCCTGTGTCCACGGGATTCTCCAGGTGAGAATACTGGAGTGGGTTGTCACGCCCTCCTCCAGGGGACCGTCCCCACCCAGGGATGGAACCTGGCCCTCCTGCACTTCACGTGGATTCTTCACCGTCTGAGCTTGCGTGACCCACGGCTCACACTCATTTCCCACAGAGACATCCGTCTCGTCTGTGGACGCTGCGGCAGGCGGCCCCTGCATTTCCATACCCTCTTGTACATCAAGTCCTAATCTGTGACCAATCGTTTCCCCCACCCCGAGATAGAGCTCTCATGGGTCCGATAATAGGAGGACGCGGAGTCTCACGCTGTAATGTGCAATTCCACACTTTGTGGGGATGTTCAATCGACTTCATTATTTCCTGTGCTCCGGCTGTGCGTCCTGAGGTTTCATTACCTGCCCCAGACACATTTCCATACTCCATCCATCACCCCGACCTGTTCACAGTGCTGAATATTCAGATTAAACCGCAGCTGTTTCCCCATGAATAAGGAATTTGATTCAATTCTATCACACACACACACACACACACACACACACCTTCTCTTGGGACGGGAAATTGAGTTGAAGGTGGTGGAAGGCAAGTCAGAAAATTTTATTATCCAAATAGGAAAGTCTTTTCCGTATCATCAAAAAACCTTGAAATGGTGCTGGGGGCAGGGAGAGGAGGGTGATCCGGCAGGGCTTGTCAGGGAGAGAACTCGGTGTGCATGTGAAAAGGTAACAGGAGCATTTACTGACAGACTTCCTTGCTGCCAACAGGTGGCAGCGAGGGTGGGGGAGCCAGGACAAAGGGGCATCTGTCTGGGGCCTCCTTCGACGCGTAGACACGTGTGAGGAGGGCTGAAGGAGCCGTGTGCCGTCTGAGGCCCGCGGCCAGCAGGCCTGTCCTCTTCCTGTCCTCAGCCTGCCTGCTGACTCACTCAGTCGTGTCTGACTCTTGGCGACCCCACAGACTGAAGGCTGCCTGGCTCCTCTGTCCACGGGCTTCTCCAGGCAAGAATACTACAGTGGGTTGCCATGCCGCCCTCCAAGGGATCTTCCCCACCCAGGGATTGAACCTGGGTCTCTTATGTCTCCCGCACTGGCAGGCGGGTTCTTCGCCATCAGCGCCACGTGGGAAACCCCTTAAGGCTATTAGTCGCCCTTAAACACCCCGCTTAAACAGCCCTGCCCCCATCCCAAGCCTGTCCTCTCTCCCTGTTTTCCTATCGTCTTTCCGCATCATGCCGGGTAATTGAACACTGAATTATCTGAACGATTCCCCTCTCCCATGCCATTACACTACCAGCTCTCCGAGATCATGAACTGTTTTATTTACCCATGTTCTTGGGTGTGCAGCACACACTGAGATGACCCGATGCTAACCCATTTAGCTATGCCATGTCCCAGCACAGATAAACTGTCAGTAAATTAAAAGACAAGGGGCCGAGAGAAGCAGCAAGCTGAGGGCCAGAAGTTATAACTGCTCGCAACCGAGACAGCCCCTGGACGAACAGAAACACCACAGAACAGGGCAGGGTCAAAGCTCCTCACTAGGTCAGCGGCCTGAGCCCATGTTTACAACCGGCATACTGAATGGAGACCATCAGTGGACGTCCAGAAAGTGTCATTAGAAACAGTACAAAACCAGGCACACACATAACTTCTGCAAAACTCTTTCATGTCAATAAAAGGGCAGATTATTTGCACACTCCCCAATCTTTTTATTAGAATTTTTTTATCTTATACTACAATTTTACAATATTCAAATTTTATTTTTCTTTAATTTTATGCTAAAATTTGGGATTTTTCAAATTTTATGTTAAAATTTGGCTGGAAAAGGAGTGAGTTCATGTCATTTTTTTGTATTTCGTTCAACATTCTTAATCTTTGGATGCTTATCAAAATGCATACTAATCAAAAAAGATTTGTTGTTTTAATTTTTGGTTACACCATACTGCTTATGGAATCTTAGTGTCCCGACAGGGGATTGAAACCACAGCCTCAGTAGTGAAAGCACCAAGTCCTTACCACCGGTTGCTGTTGTTCAGTCATTAAAGTCGTGTCCAACTCTTTTTCACCCCATGGACTGCAGCACGCCAGGCTTCCCTGTGCTTCACAATCTCCCAGGGATTGTTCAAACTTATATCCATTGAGTCGGTGATACCATCCAACCATCTCATCCTCTGCCATCCCCTTCTCGGTCTTTTCCAATGAGTCAGTTCTTCGCATCAGGTGGCCAAAGTATCGGAGTTTCAGCTTCAGCATCAGTCCTTCCAATGAATATTCAGGACTGATTTTCTTTAGGATTGACTGGTTGGATCTCCTTGCATTCCAAAGGATTCTCAAGAGTCTTCTCCAACATCATGGTTCAAAAGCATCAATTCTTCAACGCTCAGCCTTCTTTATGGTCAAAGTCTCACATCCGTACTACACTATTGGGAAAATCATAGCTTTGACTAGATGGACCTTTGTCGGTAAAGTGATGTCTCTGCTTTTTCAGATGACATGGCAAGTGCCAATTTGTCACTGGCTTCTAGAATCTTCCTCTTCACCCCCACCCTCTGCCCTGAGATGTCCAGCCACCCCTGGGAGGCAGATGCAGCCAGCAGAGCTTCCATTCCTATTATCAGCAGAGTCCTGCCCCTGTTTAGGTGTGGCTGTGCCCATCCCAGACCTCTCCAGCCTCTGCCCCACCGGCCTCGGGCTCACAGCACCTCTCTGTCCCCTGGGGCAGCCTCCCGCCCCAGCGCACAGACTGAAGGAGGTTCTGTTTCCCTCCCGGAGTTTGTCGATGTTCCACTGGCAAACGCACAGGCCTTGCAGACCCCGGGGTATAAAGCCGTCTTGTCCAGGGACTGAAAAATGCCATCCTCCCCCCTCCCAAAATCTCCGCCAAAAAAAAAAAAAAAACCACATGGATGAGTGGCAGCTCATTTACAGACCCAGAGTGAAAAGCCTGTTTGTGCTCTGAGAAGATGTCTGTGTGTGATAAATGTAAATTGTGCTCTGAGAAGATGTCTGTGTGTGATAAATGTAAACAGAAACACGTATTAATACTTGCCTCCCTCCAGAACTGACATGGGCTTTCCTGGTGGCTCAGATGATAAAGAATCTGCCTGTAAGGCAGGAGACCGGGATTCGATCCCTGGGTCAGGAAGATCCCCTGGAGAAGGAATGGCAATCCACTCCAGTATTCTTGCCTGGAGAATCCCATGGACAGAGGAACCTGGGGAGCTAAAGTTCATGGAACTGCAAAGAGTCAGACATGACTGAGTGCCTAACACTTTCACAGAACTGACAACCTGCACATACAAGCATCAGCTTCCCAAGGCACAGAAATAATCGCACAGAAGTCCTGTGTCATGGCCCTCTCGTGACCCAGGATACTTGCGTTTTTATCTTTAGCCATGAAATGTGGATAAGACATCATCTGCTGTATCAGTAAGCAAACAATGCTGAGGCCGCCAAGCCTCAGCCCCAAGGGTTCAACCTGAGGGGGTTTAGGATGAAGAAAAACAGGATTCTGGTATACCAGATAGTGTGCTCCGTTGTGTCTGACAAATTCTAAACAGCGTCCCCAGTAAACGTGTGAGGTTCAGCCACAGGGAGCACGATGAGAGCCCAAGATGGGCTCTGGCCAAGGATGAAGGCTGTGGGTTGGCAACAACATCAACTTGGATATAAATATTTTCCCTTTCTCAGGACACACAGGCTCATCCTGTCATTAATTCCTACAGAATGGAGTGGAATGGTATTTCCTCAGTTATGTCCAACTCTTTATGACCCCATGGACTGTAGCCTGCCAAGATCCTCTGTCCATGGGGATTCTCCAGGCAAGAATTCTGGAGTGGGTTGCCATTTCCTCCTCCAGGCAATCTTCCGGATCCAGGGATCAAACCCAGACTCTTAGATCTTCCCATACATAGAAAAGCGCTAAATTCATTAACTTGCAATGTCTGGTTTTCTTTAAATTACTGTCATCTTTTGATGTTCCAACATTCTATTTTGTTGCCAAAAGTCCTATATATCATGGCCCCTCCCTTACGTCTTCTGAAAAGTCCCTCAGAAAGATCTGAGAGGATACTTCCTGAGCTTAGGTCTTGAGCAAGTCCTCAGATTAAAACACAATTCTCAGCTGTGAGATGGTGTATTATTTTTTTCAGTAGACAAACACAAAGTTTGCAATCATTCAAACACAGAATAAAATCACAATTTAACAAAGAGCTATTTAGCTGATGGCTCAGAAGTAAAGAAACCACCTGCAATACAGGACATGCAGGTTCAATCTCTGGGTTGGGGAAGCTCCCCCGGAGAAGGAAATGACAACCCACTCCAATATTCTTGCCTGGAGAATCCTAGGGACAGAGGAGCCTGGCGGGCTATAGTCCGTGGGGCCGCAAAGAGTGGGACATGATTGAGCTATATACAACAAAGCTGTATTTACACTACTGAGAAGTAAAAAGTGAGTGAAGTCACTCACTGGTGACCAACTCTTTAGGACCCCATGGACTGTAGCCTACCAGGCTCCTCCGTCCAGGGAAGTTTTCAGGCAAAGAATACCGGAGTGGGTTGCCATTTCCTTCTCCAGGGGATCTTTCTGACCCTAGGTTCAAACCCAGATCTCCCGCACGGCAATCAGATGCTTTATCATCTGAGCCACCAGGGAAGCCCAACTGAGAAGCAGGAAACTTGAACTCCTAAGAACTTGAAATTACCTCCTAAATGAGAGCAAAGTTAAGTGAAAACTTTTAAAGAGGGGAAAAAAAACTTATAAAAAAGGCGGTGCCTGTGAGCCGTGTGGATGATTTCTCAACAGTTAAAACTGCTGAAACAAGATAGTCATGGGGCCAAAGGTCATGTAAGTAGTTAATTTCGCCTCCATTAAAACTGATTATTTTTGCAATTACGAAAGTAGCTCATGCTTATCCTGAAAGGCCAGCTTGAAAGCAGTTACACGCCTCCAATGCATCATTAAGATTTAACACACTTAACGTAACGGGGACCCCTGCGGTCCGAAGGGGCCCGTATTATCTACAACACTTGGACTGGCCTCCGACCCCGCCTCGCGCTCGCTCGGCGGCGGGCAAGCACTGTGCAGGTTCCCCCTGTAGCCCTTCGCCTCCTGCACGCGGCCTAGCCTCTGGCTCGCTCCCGGCAGGCACGCACTGCGCATGCTCGACAAGCCCCCCGGCCCCGCCCCGCGGCCAGGCCAACCACCCGCGCGTGCCCCTCCCGACGAGCTCTCATGGCGCATGCGCGCAGCTCCCGGCGGTGGGGGGGGGGGGCGGAGAGCCCGGGAGTCTCGTTGGCGCGGGGCCACACCCACCAAAAGCCTAAAACCTAAAAGGCCTAGAGTCCGGTGCCCACCACTCCTCGTCCCCGTCCACAGTCCAGCTCCTGAGCGCCCTCCGGAGCGCCCACGCGTCCCGCACAGCGTCCGGCCCACCCAGGCGCCCTGCACTGCCTCGGGGTGCTGACGGGAGGCGCCGTGTGATGACGCCACGCGTCGCGATGACGCACGGCTGAGGCGACCTTCTCTGGGCGCTAGTCCCGGCGCGCCCGTTTTGAAGCTGCCCTGAGTTGGGCGGGTCCCCCCGCGGTCTGACCGCCCGCCTCAGCCGGGACCCCGAGTCCGCGCAGCCCCCCGCGCTGGGGCTCCGCCTCATCCCTGACCTCCTGAACCCCGGGCCCGCGACCCCCGCCGGGCCGGGCCTCCTCTTCCCCGAACCTCAGGCCCGCGACCCCCACCGAGCCTTGCGCGGCCTCACCCCTGACCTCCTGAACCTCGGGCCTGCAAAACCCACCGGGCCGGACCAGTTCCTCCCCGAACCCGGGGCTCGCGGTCCCCGCCGGGTCCCTGCCTCCTCACCAGACCCCAGGACCCCCACCGGGCCGGTCCTCCTCTTCCCCGAACCTTGGGCTCCCGACCCTTGCCGGGCTAGACTGTCTCCTCATCAGACCCCGGGACCTCATCCCGGACCCCAGCACCCTCGGCCCGCGACCCCCACCAGGCCGGGCCTCCTCTTCCCCGAACTCCGGGCCCGCGACCCCCGCCGGGTCGCTGCCTCCTCACCGGACCCCGGGAGCCTCCCGGCCAGGTTCCCGCCTCTTGCCCCGGGGCCCTTGACCCCCCCACTGGCTCGTGCCCTCAGGGGCTGGTCGGCGACCCCGCGTGTGGTCCATTCAGGCCGGACGTGGGTCCCGGCTCCAGGCACCTGTGCGCGAGGAAGGAGGGGGTGGGGGCGTCCCTCGGGAAGGAGGGCCCGAGCCCCGGAGATGCCGCCCGGCAAGGTCCTGCAGCCGGTCCTGAAGATGAAGGTGGACGAGCTCTTCCTGTGCTGGCTCAGTGAGTCCAGCACGCAGGCGATGCTCCGGGACTGCTTGCGGAGGATCCAGATGCCCGCGATGCCCGAGAGGGGCGCGGGAGACGCGGCGCAGCCGGGGCCCTGGCTCGCAGCCGCCGCCCCCGACCCTGCCTGGAGGCCGCACGAGTGCGAAGGTCCCGGGGCGCCCGGCCCTTCCCCCGCGTCCACCGCGCTTCCCGTGGGAGCCGCCTCCAGTGCCCGGAGTGGGCCGCCGATTCGAGGGCCTCGACGATCCGGAGGGGCGAGAGTAGTAAGTTCATCTTGCTTCTGCTGACGCCTGCGAAGGTAACTGGGGGGTTCCCACCGACATATGGCTGGGGGTGGCCAGGCAGGTGGAGGAATGTCAAGCGTGCTAAGCACTTGAGTGTCTATTCTGTCTCCTTCAGTGACCAGTGATCAGTTCAGTCGCCCAGTTGTAATTTTCTGTAAAGGAGGGCGGCTTTGCTGCCTGAGAAAGACCTCATTTATGCATGGCAGGCAGAAAGCCACAGAGCGTGGGCGTGAAGTTCCTCAGGCCAGAGTGGTGTTTCCCCAAGAACAGGATCATGCATCGTGCTGCCTGGGGCAGTGGAGAGACCAGCTTCTGCCTGGAAGGATGTGACGTGGCCTCGGCGGTGGGGCTGGAATAGTCGGGATAGGGGGGCGTGGGTGTGTCTGTTGAACGAAAGAAGTGCTGATGGGGGCGGGTAAGACTGAAGACCCCTTCTCTGGTCTGCAGTTTCCATGCCCAGATAGAGTAAGTCACCATGAGGACCCGGTTTTTGGTTTTTTGTTTTAAATATTTACTTATTTATATTTATTTATTTGACTGCACCAGGGTCTTACTTGTGGCCTGTGGAATCGAGTTGCCTGACCGGTGATCAAACCCAGGCTCCCTGCTTTGGGAGCCCAGAGTCTTAGCCTCTGGGCTACCAAGGAAGTCCCCTGAGGACCTGGTTTTGAGGAAAAGCAGAATGACTCTCTCTTAACTGTCCCAAGAGGTTTCAAAAAGGAATGACGGGGACCTGCCTGGTGGTCTAGTGGTTGACTCCACGCTGCCAGTGCAGAGGGCACAGGTCCCACCCGTGGTTAGGGAACTAACATCCAACATTCTGCTGTGGCCAAAAAAAAACTGTTGATGGACCTTGTCTGGGGCCTGAAGGCCCTTTAAACATGTCTTGGTGAATGTGGAATTTATGGCTTCAGTTGAATTTTGAGAGGCTAGTAATCCAAAAAGGGCTGTTGTCATTGGGATAAAATGATAAGACTTCTTTGGCCCCAAGAAATGGATAATTAATGTTAGGAAAATGTTCCTACATAAAATGCCATAAGACAACTTCTGAGCTTGTGTTCTCTAAGAGCTAATAGGAAGTGAAGAAACCTCATGTGGAGCTTCCCTGGTGGCTCAGTGGTAGAGAATCCACCTGCCGATGCAGGAGACACAGGTTCGATCCCCAAGTCGGGACGGTCCCCTGGAGGAGGGCATGGCAACCCACTCCAGTATTCCTGCCTGGAGAATCCCATGGACAGAGGAGTCTGGTGAGCTATAGTCCATGGGGTCACAAAGAGTCGGACATGACTGAGCAAGTCAATAGCAACATAAGGGCTGTTTGTGTAGAATCTGCATGCAGCTCCTTTGTGAGACTTATATTTTCGCATATTTCTCTTCAGTCTTTGTCCCATTTTGTTGTTGGTTTGCATGTTTTTTGAACACAAAAAGCTGTTAGTTTTTTTTTTAATTCTTTCAATTTCATTCTTTCATGGTTCTTACGTATTGCATCCAGTCTACAAAATGTGTGAGTCTCCCAGGCTGTCAGGGTTGTCTTCTGTTTTCCTCCTAAAAGATTCCTGGTTTTCCCTTTTGTATATAGAGTTCTGATCCATTTCTCTTAAGTTTCTGTGTGTGGTGTAAGATATCCAGGTAACTAGTGGTCTTTGAAATAGTTCTTTTCCTGCAGAGATGCACTGGGAGTTACATGGTCGAAAATCCGTCAGCCTTGTGCATGTGGGTCTGTTTCCTGATCTCTGATCCTGTGATCTGTGTTTGAAATCTCACTCTGCAACTCTCTGGGGATGAACCTGTGGAAAGCAGGTGGCATACAGACAACCCTGTTCTTTTAAAAGGGTCTGAGATTCTCAGATGTCCTTTGACCTCAGGCTATCCTGACGTTCTTATCTCCATGTAACCCTGAGAACCAGCTTGTCAGCCTCCACAGGAAAGCCTGTTGGAGTTTTTTTTTTTTTTTCAGTTGGAGTTTTGATTGGGGCTACGTTAAGTCTGTAGATTAATCTCGCACCACTAATGCCTTAAAAATGTCGAGTTTCCAAGCCCACGAGCTCCGGATGTCTTTCTGTCTCCTTGCATCTCATCATCTTCCGTCATCGACGTTGCATGTGTTCCAGTGCTTTGCGTCCTTGGTGAAATTTATCATCTACCTGTTTAGACATTTAGTGCTTTGCCTTTGTTCATAGATATGGGGTGTTCAGTTACCTGGTGATTTGACTTGATCTGACTTGGTACTGGTTTAGTCCTGGTTTCGGGTCATGGTTCAGCCCTGGTTTAGGGCTCTGGTTCAAGCTGGGTTCAGTTCACATTCAGTCCATGTTCAGTCTGGGTTCATGTTCAGTTTGGTCCACATTCAGTTCACTTTCAGTCCACGTTCAGCCCGTGTTCAGTCCCAAGTTCACTGCGGGTTCAGTCAGTGTTCACTGCACGTTCAGCCCGTGTTCAGTGCACGTTCAGTCCAGGTTCACTGCGAGTTCAGTCTGGGTTCAGTCCACATTCAGTCGGGGTTCAGTCCAGATTTAGCTTCCTCACCTCATGGGACCGCCTTCTTCCTGTCTGTCTCCAAGGCGGGTACAGCCCTGGGGAAAGGTGCGGGATCCCTATGAGGAGGAGGTGGGGCACAGGGTCTCTGAAGAGAAGAGGGGCACGGGGTCCCCATGAGGAGAAGGAGGGGTGCAGAGTCCCGTGAGGAGGAGGGGCACGGGGTCCCTTAGGAGCCTGGTGTGGGGTCTCTGAAGAGAAGAGGGGCACGGGGTCCCCATGAGGAGAAGGAGGGGTGCAGAGTCACGTGAGGAGGAGGGGCACGGGGTCCTCTAGGAGCCTGGTGTGGGGTCTCTGCAGAGGGCTCTCAGGGTCTCCCCGAGGATGTGGCGGTGGCTGGTCTCCATCAGGAGGTGGTGGCCACTACTGCTCTCTAGATTTGGGGGTGCCTGTGGCCGAGGGGGTCCCTGCGGCTGCAGGGCCCCGGTGCTCCCCTGGACAGAGGCCCTGTCTGACTGAGACCTGGGCCGTCTGCACCCCCACCCCGTGGCTGGGGATCCCCGCCCCCATGTGTGAGCTGTGTCGAGCTTTGAGGCAGCGCCCTGGTCAACAGCCTCAGGTGGCACGTGTCCTCCTGGTCCCTGGCACGGGCAGAGAGGGCCCAGGCCTCTTGGCGGAGTCGCTGCTGGTGCAGAGGAGCTGGCTTAGTTTTGGGGGACGAAGTGCTTTCCCGTCAGCTTTCACAGGACTTGGGAAGCTGTGCACACGCTCCTCTCTTCTTACCCTCGCCCCCGAGGCATCCAGGGCTCTGGGCCAGGGCAGAGCCTTCTGCCCCCGCTGGTTCTCCCAGAACGCCCCCCAGGTCAGGTGCCCAGGCCTCCTCCTGAGTCCTCCCCTGGCGCTGCTCTATGACCGCACTGCGTCGTCCTGTGTCAGGCGGACCCTGGCTCCCAGCTCTCCGATCCTCGCGTCGAGGACGTCCAAGCTCAGTCCTCGTGAGGCCCTCGTCTCCTCTCCTCTCAGCAGAGGGTCAGTCTCTTACTCGTGTCCGACTCTGTGCGACCCCACGGGCTGCAGCCAGCCAGGCTCCTCTGTCCATGGGATTCCAGGCGGGAATACTGGAGTGGTTTCCTGTTTCCTCCTCCAGGGGATCTTCCTGACTCAGGGATCCAACCCAGGTCTTCTGCCTTAGCAGGCAGGTTCTTTACCCCGAGTGACCTGGGAAGCGACCGACATCTCAGGGAGATGCCTACGGAGTAACTGCTGGGTTTTAAGTCTTATAATTGTTTCTGACTCCTTTTAAAATTTATTTATTTTTAATTGGAGGACAACTGCTTTACAGTATTGTGTTGGTTTCTGCCATACATCACCATGAATCAGCCATAGGTATAACATGTCCCCTCACTCTTGAACCTCCCTTCCACCTCCCTCCCCATCCCACCCCTCTAGGTTGTCACAGACCCGTTTCTCTTTTCAGGACCCCGTCAAGCGGTGTTCCAGAGGGGCTGCACCGTGGGTGTTCCCTGCCTGAAAGCAGCCCATGCTTCCAGCCCCCCGTCCTCGGCGGGCACCCGACTGGCCCCTGTCCGTAACATGGCTCTCGGTGGCACCTCTGTGGCTTGGTCACCGTTTCCCTGGCGACTGTGATCTCGAGCTTCCTTGTCCTCTTGCGTCTTCGCTCCTGGGCTGTCTCTGCAGATGCTCTTCCCTTTTACGTACTGGTTTGTTGCTTTGTCTCATTCAGCTGGCAAGTTCTGTGTGTGTTCTGGGTACAGCTGCTCTCTTTTTCACTATGGGATTTGCAAGCTGTCTCTGTAGCAAGTGACTTGTCATATGTTTCATCTCTTCCACCAGTTTTGCAGGCATTCTAAGTTGCTTCAGTCATGTCTGAGTCTTTGTGACCCCGTGGACTGCAGCACGCCAGGCTTCCCTATCCTTTACCATCTACCAGAGTTTGCTCATATTCCTGTCCATCGACTCGGTGATGCCATCCAACCACCTCATTCTCTGTCGTCCTCTTCTTTTCCTGCCCTCAGTCTTTCCCAGCATCAGGGTCTTTTCCAGTGAGTCAGCTCTTTGCATCAGGTGGCCGAAGTATTGGAGCTTCAGTTTCAGCATCAGTCCTTCCAATGAATATTCAGGACTGATTTCCTTTAGGATGGACTGGTTGGATCTCCTTGCAGTCCAAGGGACTCTCAAGAGTCTTCTCCAACACCAGTTTCAAAGCCTCAGTTCTTTGGCACTTAGCCTTCTTTATAGTCCAGTTCTCACATCTGTACATGGCTACAGCAAAAACCACTTATACTGGAAGTTTATACGTCTTCACCACCACCATCATCCTCACAACTACCCCCTTCCCCTGGAAGCTACAAGTCTGACCTGTTTTCCTCTGAGTTTGTTTCTGAAGCATAACTGACGTACAGCACTACGTTAGTTCCTGGTGGAGAACATTTTGTTGGTGGTGTTTAGTCACTCAGTCGTGTCTGACTCTTTGTGACCCCGGG